GCAAGGTGATTGTTACCACCCGATGGTTGAGAAACACTGTTTTATTTTATCACTTCAAAACTAGCCAGTGCAGATAGCCCTTGAGTAAATTCGTTCGAAATTCAACAAAGAAATAAAAACATAAAGTGATAGCTATGATTAAACACTATTATCCGACACTGCAATTTTTATTATTTGTAGCAATCTTTTATTACAAATCTTGACAAAAACCCGCCATTCACTATACATGAATGTGAGTTTTCGAGGCCACGACAGAATAAAGACACAAAAGTCAAGTTGCCTGTAGCAATAATGTGATACATAGAAACGCCTCAAAATCTGGTACGTTTGAAACGGTGGAGAACTTGACAGCTATACGTCTAATAGAATTCCTGTGATCCCAGTTATTCAGACCGTCTCTGTTGTGAAAACAATTGCTATTTCGAAAGTTGGTTGGAGTGAACTTTGACTTTCATCAACTTCAAGTTCTATTATTGTTATAATCCTGAAGATATGTCCAAGATGATTGCACTGCCTTTAAGATTAGAAGATTCTTTCTTAAATAAACACAGTCTTCACAATGCAGATGAGGGTTTTGCTCTAGATTGGCTTGGGATGGGGTTACTGTCCCAGTGGCAAAAATATTCTGATTATGATTTTTAACACAAAGTGTCTGCAGTTTATAATAAACAAAAGATGCTTAGAATCTAACATAAAAATCTGCTCCATCACCAACATAATGGTAAAAAAAATAGACCCCTATGAAATTTAGTTCTTGGACTAGCAATGAACTGCACAATTTAACTGACGTGTTTCATCAAGTGCAGAGTGGAATCATTAATTAGAAGTATGAATACGACAGACTGATTGAAGAGTTCATCTAATAAAATAAAATATTAGATTCGGAGTTATGAGCTAAGTTACTAATGATGTAGTAAATATCAATGTTTAAAATATCGCAGAGAGAAAGTGTGACATTTAGTAAGGATCAAAGTTTTGAAGAGTTTGTTTGTGTTGAAGTTAAGTACAAATTTACACAATGGACTATCCGTGCACTGCCCACCACGGGTCTCGAATCCTGGTTTTTATCGTTATAAAACTGATGAGCAGTTTCAAGAGAATACTTAGTTAAAATTAAAGCACCGAAAACAAAGTTGAGATTAATTCATAGCATATAGTAAGAAGTTAAATACTGAATTTAGCTAATATGGGAGTATGGAGTGTAAACCATGAGTGAAATTACAGAGGCCAACATTCGCGGGCGAATACAAGACGACTCCACCATGCATTCCAATTATGGCCAATTCTGACACCAGAAAAATCGACAACTGTCTATATCGCTGCTTGCTTTGTACCAAATCCCATGTAAATTGGTTGACATACAGATGAATAGTTCACGAAAACCCTAAACTGTATTTTCCTCGATAAAAAATTAAGCAAAAAACAAAAATTACAAAATTGGGCTATATCTCTGTTTGGGACTTCTAAAAAAAAGTATATTTGTACCAAATACCATATAAATTGACCGATATATGGTGGAGTAATTGTCAAAAAAAAAACTTTAAATTTGTGTTTTTTTGTAGCATCTTGACTCCCTATAATTACTAAAAATGAGCAAATCCAACATTTTTGCCCATAGTGGCACAGCGGTATGTCTCCGGACTTACAACGCTAGAAATCGGGTTTCGATAGCCGTGGTGGGGAGAACACAGATAGCCCATTGTGTAGCTTTGTGCTTAATTTCAAACAAACAAATTCAACATTTTTGCCCCGCCCCCAATGGCATAGCGGTATGTCTCCGGACTTACAACGCTAGAAACCGGGTTTCGATAGCCGTGGTGGGCAGAGCACAAATAGTTGTGCTTAACTTCAAACAAACAAATCCAACATTTTTGCTAGTCGATGTATGTTGCCTGTAGAAAGGTATCTTTCTATAAAATTCTATGTAAATTGGTCGAAACTTGGTTAAGTAATTGACCAAATCCCCTAAAAGTATGTTTTTTAACCTTTTGACCCACCTAAAGTGACTAAAAATGGGTATATCCCACATTATTGTATGTATATGTATGGGACTTATAAAAAAAAAGTATCTTTATATCAAATCCACTGTAAATTAGCATGTTGTTCATGCATTAGTTTAGATTCTTAGCCTATTTAAAGTATAATTTAGTGTCAATCGATCAACATTGAAAATCTCATCCATGGTAACAATTTCTATGCTTTTTCTTTTTATCTAAGAATAGAGCACCTTTTAAACAAAGAAAAATAGTGAATATTTTGGTCATCAAATGCATTTTTCGGGTCAAGATTGATGAAGCTCTGAGCTTCGAAAGGAGTTATAGGACTAACGAGAAAAGGGTGCGAGAAATATGGGCGGAAAATGAAATTGAAGATGTCCGTTGGTTAAGAGGTAATCTTAAAGTTAATTCAGGTATCACATTATTCTTCGAAAGGAAATTTGTTAGTGTTATTAAGGTGCTTCTATTCTGTTTTTGATTAATATAGAAAATTATATCTTTATTGGCCTGTTCTATTAATGATTCTGTTTTGCTTTAAGTGTTAGTCATGTGCCTTTAGGTTCGTATTTTTTATTAAGTGCAATATTTGAGCATGATGTGGAATAAGGGAAACCTTTATATGTCTTGGTTATAACTAAAGAATATACATCTTTTACGTTTGATTGTTGTTAAACATAAGGCTACACAATGGCTATCTGTGTTCTACCCAGCTTGGGTATCTAAACCCGATTTGTAGCGTCACAAGCCTGCAGACTTACCCCTGAGCCACTGGTGAGGGGGGCACATCTTGTTGAATAGGTCAGACTGTCGTGACATGATTGGCATTGAATGAGAGAACATAAAAAAAATATACGGACTGTTATCTTATTTGCTTTGACCTTGAATTCGCATAATATGTCTTTGTTTTAGTGAAAGACACTGTTTTATAAGTTCAGACTCGAAATTGAGACTATCTGTTCTTTCTAAAGATAGAAGTTAGATTCTGTTTAGTTCTTCCGATGACTAGTTAATTGTCTGCTTAGTTCTTTAAAGAATTAGTGCAGGTTTTCTAAAAGTTTTCCCGCCTTTGTTTGACGCGCATATGTTACACCAATTTCTTAATAAGTTCCAGTTCCTTTTAATATCTTCATTTCCTTCCTGATTTCCATTTTAAAGTATATTACAAATTGGATCTCAAGCTTGAATGGAATACAGAGAGGATATAGGAGTAAAATATAATTAGTTTAGAGTGACAAATGAATTTAGAATGAATATGTGTAATTACAGTTCCAAAAAGAGGTAATTTTTGGTAATTCTTCCACTTGAATAAAGTGAAACACGAGTTTTCTTAACCAAATCTGGAGTACATTTCATTTCTCTATTCCATACACATGTGGTATACGGATACACTGATATCAACAAGTAGCGAAAGGTATCTGCAACATAGCAAGTTCTAGAAATGCCAAGCAGAGAATAAATTGAACATGAACAATAAAAAAAAAAAACAAGCGAACTCATAATAGAAGCTTTATTCACAATAATGTTTTGCACATGTGCTTCATTAACTGATCGGTTTCTTATATTCTGCAGTATCTCTGCTGGTTTCTGGGGAAAGAGAGGTTTTCCTAAATGTCTACACAAGATAAGGGTACAAAGAATAATATTATATTGCACTTTAAATTCATAAAAAGAGGTTCTAGTGCAGTATTCCATAATGCATAAATTATACATACAAAATATTATTCTAAGTTACATATTTAAAGGAGAGATCCCCAACTCGTTTTAATTTGTGCAATTATCTGTATCACCCCAAGAGTTGAACTTGCCCCATAACAAGTAGTGGACACACACTCAGGGCCAAACTGATATAAGCTTCTAACGTCTTATGTAAGATTAGCAGATGTTTACAATCTTTGGATATTTGGTTTACAAGGATGGCATAACTATATGAAAAACACCTATACAGAGGCCCGACATGACCAGGTGGTTAGGGAGCTCGACTCGCAATCTGCGGGTCGCGGGTTCGAATTCCCGTCACATCAAACATGCTCGCCCTTTCAGCCGTGGGGGCATTATAATGTGACGGTCAATCCCACTATTCGTTGGTAAAAGAGTAGCCAAAGAGTTGGCGGTAGGTGGTGATGACTAGCTGCCTTCTCTCTAGTCTTACACTGCTAAATTAGGGATGGCTAACGCAGATAGCCCTCGTGTAGCTTTGCGCAAAATTAAAAAAAAAAAACACCTATATAGAATTTTTGAAAATTACCTGGATATACTATGGTACAGATATATTCTAATTTAGTTACAAAAGAGTGTAATTAACAGTATGTTATAACTATTACACACACATATTCCGAAGTTTTTTTTTATCCTATGATCCTTTGAACTTGGTTTAGTTGTGAAAAAAAGACTTGGTGGTTGGTTTTACTGTGAATAATTAGTATAAACAATTGCTGTTTTTATCCACTTATTTCAGTTTCAACTAATGTTGACAAAATGTGCAGACAAAACAAAGAAACAAGTGATATGTATTAATAATGTTTTCTAAAGTTTTATTTTGTAGTTATTTGATTATATATTATCCTATCTATTTTCTTTCTTTAGAGTTGTGAGTTTCATTCATTTCTTTAAACACGAACGTAGGGTTTAGTAACTTTGTGTTAAAATATTTCTTTTTGATTTTCACAGATGTATTGCACCAATCTTCTAGGCATAAAACTTTTTTCTTTTTTTACTTGTTGATTAATACATGCTAACACCAGCTTCTTGTTCTCGTGAATTATAGAAAATATTAATCTTTGTTCAGTAAAAGCGTTTTTCGTCCAAAAAATAACATCAATAGAAACATAAATGGATAGTTAGTATGTAATAGTATCACCCCCCAGGTTTGTAATGGTTTCCTTGAAATTAAAATTGTGTGATTGTAAGAAATATTAATGATTTTATTGGGTGTACAATATGTAAAATAAATGTAAAAAATAAATAATTAAAAAAGGACTCGCCGCCTGTTGGCCGTATTATCTAATACTGCAGATCCTATGGCTTTACTGGTTTGGATTGTGGCATGTTGGACGTAGGTTACCGCACCAGACAAATAGCAGTTAGATAACTCAAATCTTTTGTTGACTCGCAATGGCTTTACTTCAACGTACGTTTACAAGGGAAATTGAAATTGAAAGCGAAAATATCACCCTGAAGATTCATCAGTGTGAAGTTGGTGATGTGGGATGCGTTGTGTGGGATTCGGGATTAGTATTGGCAAAATATTTAGAGTACAAACATTGCTTTCTGAAAGGACACTGGAAAAATAAATATGTGATAGAACTGGGAGCCGGCACTGGATTGGTTGGTCTGACAGCCGCCTGTTTGGGGTGTGTAACTATTAATTAATTATTCTTTTGAAGGAAATTGTTTGCTAAAGAAGTAATTACTCTGACTTTGAATAATATTAAATGCAAAACAAAGTAGAATTCAAAATTTTATGTGCCGTCACAGTTTTAAACCTACATTACAAAAATGATGAAAGAGAATTGTTTATTAACTTATCTCATGTTGCGGTTTTGGCCGTAGGTTTGGTCGTCATTTTGGTGTCAGTGCGAATCCCGCACCCAATGTACCGTCTCACACTCAATGTCATGGCTTTCAGATGAAGTTTCATTATTTTTATTAGTAGACAATAAAAACAAATATAATTATTAAATTCTATAGCACGTGGCAGCCTTCTAAAAACCTACATATTTATTAAAATGTGTGCTTTCACTAGTACTAGTGGTAAAGTTTAGCCTAATATTTTAATAACTTGCATAAAACTTAAGGACAACAAAGGACCTGTGTCCATCTAGGCTATCCCATCCTCTAAACTAAACTATATATAAAAAATATATTTTTTTTTCAAGTCCAGCATATCTGAAAGAAACAACCTTCAAAGGAAGACCAATCACCCTATTACTAGTATTAGAAAAAATAAACTGTCTTAGCTGAAGATGACTCCCAAACTTCCAAATTTTTTATTTCAACTATTTGTGCCCCCTAGTCCAACAATTACAATTTTCACCATTAAGTGAAACTAGACCCCTCTAACTCAAGAGAAAACTGTTTGAGATCTTAACCTGTTCTCAAATGACAACCTTTCCACCTCAATTATCATTCTAGTACTAGTAGCCCACTCTGAACCCTTTCCAATAATTCAGTGTCCTTTTTGAGGTAAGGAGCTGAAGACTGAATACAATAATCCAAATGTGGTCTAACCAATGACCTATACAATGACTTAATAACTTCTTTAGATTAGTATTCTTTATTTTTATAGATACAACTATAAATCCTATTTGCCTTACCACTAGGAATAGCACACTGCTTGGATGGCTTAAGAGACTTGTCAACCAGAATACCAAGATCTTTTTCTTCCATAATGCTGTTAACTTTATTCCCATCAAGATTATACTTATAACTTCAATTATGACAACTCTCATCTGTTATCTTGCCTTTATTATATTTAAAAGCCATCTGTTATTTTTTTGCCCAACTCACCAAATAATCTTTTAAGTATTATTATTTTGATATGCAATAAAAACAAGGTATAATATTTTGTGTATCATAAATATCATTTGTGAAATCTTTTAAAACTGGTGCATGTTTAGATCTAGTTGTAACAGCTTGTATAAAATCCCTCCCTCCCTCCTCCTGATTATACATGGTAATGCATCTTTTCTGAGTTTAAGAAGGATCACCCGACTTCTTGTATATTTTTTATGCAAAATCGTATCTAAGTTATTTTTCTACAAATGTGTAGGGCCAGTGTTTTATTGACTGATTTGCCAGCATTGCTTCCACTGCTTGAACTGAACTTGACTGAAAATGGTGATAAACTGCAAGGGAACACAGAAGCTAGAATCTTGAAGTGGGGCCAAGATGTTTCGGCATTTGTCAAGCCAGATATTATTCTTGTTGCAGACTGTATCTATTACCAACAGGTACTGTATTGGTTAAGTCACATGTTAACAGATTTAAAAATTAAGAATATATTCAATATTTTTTACCTGTTGATGAACTTATTTGAATTGATATAAACGTCTGAAAAACATATTTGCATGAGTAAGAGGAGCTTGACATTGTATATATTTCTTCATTTTAAATTTTCAATATTTCTTATTTGAATGAAAGACAGACTTGAGAAGTGTATGTAATTATTTGTATATGTAAGTAAGAGGGAAATAAGAAAGACTTCATAAAATGTATGCAAAAAGTCTGACACATAAGATGGTTACATGTTGATCAACCAGTTAAGAGTGAGTATATTATTTGTATTTATTTTTTTAATTTCCTTTGTTACAGATTGCCTTTTCATAACTTATTTAGATTGTTAGCTTGTATTGAGTTCAAAGTGTATTAAGTTAGTGTACAAAATTTATAGAGAAATTGTTTTCTTTTCAAATGATCCTGAGGGAGATCTGAACAAAACATTTGAAGTTGAGAAATGCAAATACTTTCACTTTAAAATATTGATTTATTTGATATAAATTGTAGAATATTGAATGGATCTTCTGTTGTGCTAAGATGCTTTGTATAATTGATACTGTTTCTTCAATTCTGATAGACCTGAATACAATTAATGAGTGAGCAAGAACTTTAAATATTTTTAAATGTTGAGAGGTGTAAGGTGATGTACTCAAGTAATAGAAACATGAAGAGTTCTTATCTCCTGAATTAGAGGAAGAGAAAGAAAATGAAATTAGATCTGTTTCTGATAAAAAACTTAAGACATTCAGACATGTAGGTATGGTGTAAAAGGTTACAGAATTCTTGTAATTTATAACTTTAGAAATCGAATAGTAGGGAGGTGCAAATATAAACTCTGGAAATCCAGATTTATAATTTTTTAGGCATAAACTAATTTTCAAGTTAAAGAGTTATAAACTTGTAGAATTTTTTGTTTATTAATGTATTCTGTGCAACTAATTTAATGTCAATTAAATGTAACTTTCACAACCATACAACAAGTTTACATGATATTAATTAAATGTAACTTTCACAACCATACAACAAGTTTACGGATGTCATGTAAACTTGTTGTATGGTTGTGAAAG